AAAATTCTCCATTAATATGTGGACCCTACAATCTGACAAATGTGGCAATAATAGCTATGTGAGTGATTGATGGGGTCTTACTATGAGCTCAGTGTCAGCTACATGTACCAAACTCTATAAAGTGTATTCCATATATGCCAAAGTATTTCACATCAAAAATCAATCTGAGAGAGGTTAATTTGTCTAGTAAGTATCAGCATCAGGAATTTACTCATATCCCAAGGCTATGCTAGATTGCTTCTCAAAATCAAACAAAATGAATTGGATACATGAAAAAAGAAGTATAATTCCACCTGCTAACAAGGCAGGAGCTGGATGGACTACGATGGATGGCACTGAGAAGAGACATTCTAAGATACTGAGCAAGAAATTTTAAAGGTTATTTTTAATAGACCATTTTCTTTTTTCTTTCTTTCTCTTTCTTTCTTTCTTTCTTTCTTTCTTTCTTTCTTTCTTTCTTTCTTTCTTTCTTTCTTTCTTTAATAGACCATTTCATACTGTGCACATATTGAGTCTGCTAAAGACAAACAGCATTTCCACAAGTATACACATTTTTTTTCTTTTTGGTCTTTCTGAGACAAGGTCTCACTGTAGCTGCAGCTGGCCTGTAACTCACTATGTAGACCAGGGTTGCCTTGAACTTATGGAGATCTTCCTGCCTCTGCCTCCTGAGTGCTGGGATGTGGGCCACCATGCCCAACTAAGTATAACATATTTTTAAAATATGGTAGATGAATAAAATGTTATTTAAATTAAAATGTTGTATTCTACCACTCCTCCAAGGAAGACTACACCCCCACCCCCATGATCATTTATTAGTTCCCTGACTTGTCTAGATTTTCAAACTGAAACATGCATATCTAGGATTTCAAAGCTAGCATCCAGCTATGAGAAAGAACATGTAATCTTTGTTTTTTAGGGACTGGGTGACCTCACTCAAGATGATTGTTTCCAATTCCATCCATTTACCTGTGAATTTCATAATTTCATTTTTTAAGGAGCTGAGGAATAGTCCACTGAGTATATGTACAGTGCTCTCATGATCCATTCATCAGTTGATGGACACCAAAGTTATTTCCAATTTCTGACTATTTATGAAAAGGACAGCAATGAACATGGGCGAACAGGCATTTTTGTTTCCGGGTAGAGCCTTGTGAGTACACACTCAAAAGTAGTATGGCTGGGTCATGTGGTAGATCAATTTTGAGCTTTTCGAGGAATCACTGATTTCCACAGTGGCTGCACCGGTTTGCACTGCCACCAGCAGTGGGTGAGAATTCACTTCATCCGTGTCCTCACTAGCGTTTTGTCATTTTGCTGCTGCTGTTGTTTTTGTTTTGTTTGGAGCTTAGCCACTCTAAGTGAGGTAAGAGGAAATCCCAAAGGAGTGTTAATCTGCATTTTCCAGATGACTAAAGATATTGAACATTTTTTAAGTCTTTCTCAGCCATTTGTGTTTCATCTTTAGAGAACTTCCTGTTCGGCTCCTTGCCCTACTTTTTAGCTGGGTTGTTTGTCTTTTATTATGCTTCATTTTAAAACTATTTGCATATTCTAGGTGCTAACCCTCTGTCAGAGTGATAACTGGCAAAAACTTTTCATGCTCTGTGGGTTGTGTCTTCACTAGAATGAGGTGTCCTTTGATGTACGAAAACATTTTAGTTTCATGTGGTTCCATGGGTCAATTGTTGGACTTAGTGTCTACACTATAGGAGTCCACTTCGGAAAGTCCATTCCTGAGCCCGTAATTCCCAATATGTTCCCTACTTTATCCTCTGTCAGATTCAGGCTATTAGGTCTTATGTTGAGGTCCTTGATCCATTTGGACTTGAGTGCTGTGCATGGTGAGAGATAGGGATCTAGTCTTGTTCTTCTACCTGCAGCTATCCAATTTGACCAACACAATTTGTTGAACATGCTGACTTTTCTCCAGTGTGTATTTGGGCTCCTTTATCAAAAATCAGGTGGCTGTAATCTGGGGACTCAATTCTATTCCACTAATAAATGTGTCTATTTTTAAGCCAGTACCATGGTGTTTTAATGACTATAGCTCTGCAGTATAATTTGAGATCAGGGATGGTAATGCCTCCAGTATTTCTTTTATTGTTCAGTGTTATTTTGGCTATCCTGGGTTTTAGGAAATGTTGAATAGAGTGGAGAATGGGAGGGCAGGGCAGAGGAGGGAATATGGGGAGGGATAAGTAACACAAAAGCAACAGAAAAAGTCATATGGAGGGGCTGGAGAGATGGCTCAGTGGTTTAGAGTACTGGCTGCTCTTGCAGAGGACCTGGGTTTGATTGCCAGCACCCACATGGCAGCTAACAACTGTCAGTAACTCCAGATCCAGGGGAATTTGACACCCTCTTCTGACCTCCTTGGGCATTGCATGACAGGGGTGTGCTTACATACATCCAGGCAACACACTCATACGCACATAAATTAATACATTTAGAGAAAAAAGAAAAAGCCATATGGAAACCAACCATGACAGAAGTACATACATACACATTGTAAAAGATATTACAAGGAATTACCTTATAATGTGGGGATACTGCCCCTAATAGATACCATAGACTAATAAAAATTAAACCCCAATGTCAGGAATGAACTCCCTCTCCTGAAGCTGCTGACTGGGCTCCCATAGATCTTCAAACACAACTGGCCATTGCTCCTGCACTTGGTTACCCACAAAAACGTGACAGTAAGACCCATTGCTGAAGACACTGCATGCATGAGATAAAGAGCAAAGAGGAGAAATCAAGCTGACTTCAGAACTTCATCACTATTACAAGTTTCCTTAGTGCTGGAAGGTGTTGCGAATGCTCCTGAAGGAAAACTAATCATCGACCTTACACAGCTACGAATCCTGTGAGCTACAAAAACAGCTGATCTGGCAAGATATGCCCACCAGTGCAACTGTGGCACAAATGTTATGGGAGTAACCAACTACTTTCTAATTGGATTTAAGGTCTGCTTCATAGGGGAGGGCCCATACCTGACAGTGAGGCTAGATAGCTCACAGGGCATAGGTGAGAGCCTAATACTAGTTTTCTACAAATAGTTATAGTATTATACCCATAGATTAATGCATCTTTCAACACTCACCAAGGAAGCTTCCTTATGCAGCAGATGGTAATTAGCACAAATCCACAAGTGGCTAATTTGTAGAGAACAAGAGGCTGCAGAGTGCTTATCCCTGAATAGGACACCTATATCAAACTTCTGCCTCCCAAGGTTCAGGGATCATTGTAGAAGAGGGAGTAGAAATAGTTTAAGAGGCAGTGGCGGTGGATGACCACCAGGAAACATCGTTTTCCAGACAGCAACAGTGATGACATGCACAAGTCCCATGTAAGCTCAAATCCACCAAAATTCCAGCATAAATGTGAAGAAGTGAGTAGATAAGATGCCCCATCCCAATCTAAGGAAATTGCAGCATCAGATGTCCACTGGGAGAAGGAGAGTGAGTCTCTTTCAAGGATGGGACTCTTGGCAGGTTAACCAGCCTCCAGTGGGTGGACCACACTGAAGTATTTGGGGACACAAATTAGACTCTATAGGCCTTATTATAAATATGATAGAGTACATTAAATTGGAATGAAGGCTTTAAGGGGAGGTACAGATAGGGAAGGGATCCAAATATCATAATTTAAAAAAATCCTAGGTTTTACAACTCCCCCCAAAAAATAATAAAATAAAATAATATGGTGGGTAGGGGCCAGTGAGATGGCTCAGTCAGTGGACAAATGCACTTGCCATACAAGTCTTATGACTTAAGTTCAATCCCTGGATCCCACTGTGGAAGGAGAGAACAGACTCTCAAAATTTGTCCCCTGACTTCAACATGTCTACCACAGCATGCACGTGCACACACACACACACACACACATACACATACATGCACACACACATACACACACATGCACACACACACACTCAGGAATAATAAAAGTATTTTAAGTATTTAAAAATGGTAGATAAAAATTCTAACTCAAAACAAGTAAACCCAAAATATTACTTTTGCATGATCAAATAATTCATCTCCCTACAACAGGATTCACCCACAGCATTTCTGTGTCCATTAATCTGTTAGTGATCACAGTTGTCTGCAGGAGAAGAGTGGAGCAGAGATTAATAGTCAAAGAGACATGAGAAGCTAAATATTACCAAAAACTATTTGAAGTCATGGTGTTTCATACCAAAGTAGAGGCTGTATAAATATAATGTACATGCCTTTCGGGTATATCTATGTTTGAGGACGAAAGTACACTGTATTCTATTGTCCAGTCATTATTTTCTTAATCTAATATTTTCTAAAGCAGGGTGATCTAGACCCTCTCAAAGATGGATGAACAATGTATAGTAATTAAAAGTCTGAAATATTTAGAATTACTTGCAAACAGTTTACTTGACATAATTCTGAGAAATATCAGCAGGATGAAGGTCTATGGGAAGGATGAACATAGTCAAATTAAAGCGAGCCATGCTTTTGTGATAGTCTTTGGGGCAACAGCTTCCTTCGCAGAAAACAAAACAAAACAAAATAAAAACCCACCAAAGCATCTTTTCAGGCAGGAAAACCATTGACAAACTTTGGGTAGCTAATCCACAAGACTCACATTAATACAGAGCACATGAAACACGTTTTCCCTTGGGCAAGGACAGCACAATCGACTGCATGTGTCACGTGCTTCTATGAATACTGAAGATTACAACTGTGTTTCGATGCTAATCTCACAACTGCACATTTCTCACTGAAAAACACACCATGAAAACACAAGTGTCAGTGTGAATCTTTCTGAACTGAATTGAACACCCTTGAAAAGAGCTGATCGTTTCCAATACCATTACAAAGCTTCTAATAACAAGGACAACTCTATGAGGCCTCCTTCTGCAGTGACCTATTTGGTGTGAAAGATGCATTTGAAACCATGACAAGAACCCAACCTGCACATCTGCTGTATTGTGTGTCAGTGTTTGCGTGTCTAGGAACCATTACCTCTAAGGCTTTGATGTCCTCATAAGCAAACTGCACCGCTGGAACTCCAAGGTGGTTGATGAAGTAATGGGTGTCCCCTTGGGTCTGCACAGAGCTGACATTGGTTTCTGAGCACTGAGCTCTCCTGGTACAGTTGAACTTATTTTTCTGAAAAATACAATTTAAGTGGTTAGCACATACTTACACTTCCCAGATCATCTGTAAATCAGTGTCACTCAAAATGTGGCCCATTGATCAACGCATCTATGCCAAGAAGGCAAATGTTCACGATGCAAATGATAAACTTTCAGCCTGTCTTCCCTAATGGGATCATCTGGTGGTAGACAGAAATCTGCTCTCAAGGATTTCCCTGTAATTCCAAAGCATTTGGGGCAGATAAAGCTGAGGCTGGCCCTGAGCACTGGGCAGGCTTAAGGCAATGTTAAGGCACTGTTAAAATCTGTTCAAATAGCTGGTAGTATTTATGATAAATTCTTTAAATTTATACTGTAAGCTCTCCTTCTGAAATTCATTTTCCTGTATAGCAAACACAGTGGGATGGGGAATTTGACTCTTTAATTAGCAGCTACTGAAATCACTCTTATTGTCTGAACTGCTTCGAGCAAAATGTCGATCAGTCAAATAGCTCGCTGGATTACCCTTCGTCAGCACCAGCCATCTTGAACAGCTCACAGATGCCCTGAGACAACCAGGCAAAATTCTGGAGCTGAACACCCTGGCTCACAGAAGCGCCATCCCAGGCCAGGGCTTCTAGAAAGAGTCCTTATCAGATGCTTTATTACAAACGTCAAAGAATCATTTCCACCTTGGCCAGAAGTAGAGCAAATTTCTTGGTGAAAGAATTATTGTGACAAGACAGTGACTGGTTCAAAAACCAAATCTTAATGGCTGTGATTGGGTGACTAGTGTTGAGATAAAGCTATATTTGGCCCAAACAAGGGACTATGCTTGGTTTAAAATGAATGACCGTGATTGGTCCAAACACGTTTTAGGGCTGTAGTCAGACTGCTGAGGCTCTCTGAGTATCAGCTGGAAAAGAATCCTCTGTCCTCTCGCTGCACTGCAGTGTCGCCTAAGCTCAGTGAAGATTTCTCTCAAGTGGCTTTTCCTTGCCTTTCAGGAATGTGTGCTGAGATGATATTGTGAAGAAAGCATCAGTTGGGAGACAGGAAACAGCAGGGTTGGCAGCAGAGGTGGCAGAAAGGACCACCACAGTGACCTCTAGACAGTTGAAAAGGTGTTGGCCTCAGCTCATCAGCTGAAGAAGCAGCAGTGCTGACCACAGACTTCATCCCATGGATCCCAATTCTGCCTGGCGCCCTGTAGACCCAATGCCCTGGTACAGGGCTCTCAAATAGCCCAGCTTAGATACTGTGCCTGGTTTCTAAGCCCCAGGCTCTGGCTTCAGACTGGGCATATCAGCAATCCTTGCTTATCAACTGAAGACAGAGCAGTAAGTCCACCTGGCCACCAGGATCCTGTCCACAGAAAATTCTCTGCCTCAATGGTACTGGCTGTACCCAGTGCCTAATTCCTGAGGGCCTACTGGCTGATACCCCTGAGAATGAGACCCTTTGTACAAAATACTTGGCAACTCTCTGGAACTCTGCTGGCGTGCAGGGTTTGCAGGTTGTCCTCTCTGGCTACCTTCCATCACTTCTCTGTTCTCCTGTTTTCCCTTTATTTCTGCTTCTTTCTCCTTCTTGCCTTGGCCACTGTGAAACTGTTCATTTGCTTCCCTAGTTGACAGGTAGTTGGTTGACACATTCTACAACTTAAGGTTGCTACTTGAAAACTTGAGTTTACCTGCCTGTGTTGGGACTGCATTTGAGACCTGGGGCAGGGCAGTGATTCTTTCAACAGATAGGTTAGCATTCTTTCACTCCATATGACCTGGAGGACAGCAGCCAGTTGCTGTGTTGAGATGAATTCTATTGTTTAAAACTGAACTCCTTGGGGGCCTGAGAACAAGAGACATCCATGCCAGGGAACCTGAATTTAACTGATTACAGCTCAACAGTGAGAAACGACCCTGGGAAATAGGTCTGGAAGTAAAAGACCTCACACACTGACAAACTAAAAAGAACAAGCTATAGGAGGCTCAGTTCCAATGGAAAGTGATAACCAGAACTTCTGAGGTGGGAACAGATCGCATCAATGGAACCTAACACTGGAGTTTGGTGGCTGTGAGCCTGAGGCCAGCAGGTGGATCACCCTCTGCAGCTGCATAATTTTTATTAACTTCCACACAGCACAAGAACACTGAAGTGCATCCCTACAGTGGAGTGACTGACACTTAGGACATCTTGAAAGTACAAAGGCAGGTCCTCCATCTGTAGAGATCACAGTGTTGTGGTTAGTTCCCCCCACACTCCCAATGTACTTCGGAGACATTCCCTACCTAGAACATCAGATACTGGGGACAGGGAGGGGATGGAGATGTGGGTGTGGTATAATCTATAAAGTCTTCAGAGGGTGAGAGGAACTTTCTAGCTCACAGATGGCAAAAGTAAGTATGTCAAGTCCAAGTCAGGTTTTTGCAATGCAAAGTAAGGGAAGCCACTGTTATGATTTAGCTAGAGGCAGGCGGTTAGAATAAAGGTCCAGGCGGGAAAACAGAAAACAATCTCACTTAACTGCTGGAATGTGTCACAAGGCCATTCCCCACAAGAAGACTGCCTGCCTGACAAGGCGATCAGTCAGACAATGACATCTGTTTCAGTTGTCTGTATCCTGGCCCGGATGATCTGGACCAAAAGATACAGTGTGGGAAGATAGCATCAAAGGAGAAGGCGGCCTGGAGACCCTGGAAAAGGACCAGCTCAGAAGTCACTTGGCAGTCTACCAGCCCTGGAGACCTCCCACCCTTCCTGAAAGAGTGCCTTTCAGTTTGCTCTTTTTGCTTCAGTAAATGCCCATTTTCACCCATTTCTGAGTCTTTATTTCATTCATCTCTTTGTCTGACTCTGAGAAGAATCCTGACTCCAGGGCAACTGGGCCTTGGTTCTCTCACCCGGTAGTACTACTAGATTGAAGACAGCTTTGGTGCACATTAAACACTTCTACCATCCGGGGTCAACACCAGTATAAACCTTAGGAAACTTAAGACCCCCAGAGACTGTCAAAGGTTGGAAAACAATATATCAAGTAAACAGAAGCAAAACACAGCCGGTGTAGCTATTCTGATATAGCAGATGTCAAAGCCAAAAGTTAGATAAATAAGCTGGTGGTGAGGGGAGGAGTCATTGGACCCTCACCTAAGTACCCAACCCAACCAGTTGTAAACAGTTCTATTCCAATTGCATGTGGCCTCAGGGTCTTGGGATGCCCTCTTGTGACCTCTGCAGGCATTGCATGACACAGGTATACTCACGTGTAGGCAATACAGTCATACACACAAAATAAAATAAAAATAATAGAAAAAATTTAAATTTATTTTTCTGAAATGGGAGTTAATATTCTTGCTCCTCATGTACTCCTCATTCTGTTAAACCTCTGGGAGCTTCATTTCAACCTGTAACAGTTGAAGGGTACTAACAAATATTCCTGAAGACATGCTTTAAAACACTGGATCATGAAATGCAAATCAACCACTTTGTATCATGCTAAAAATTCTGGTTGTTTATAAGAAATCCAAATATCGAAACGTCTTTGAATCACTTGTTTAAGCCAGAATGGAGTTCTTCCTACTTGAATCTGTACACCGAGGGCAGGCGAGATGCTGACCCATGCCTGCTGACTTCTTCATGCTCACTTTGAATGTTATTGGATGATGGTTGGGATATTTAAATGTATGACGAATCATTAGAATATTTTATGATCATTAGAATATTTTATGCCAGTATTGAGGATCTGATGGAATTTGGTGTTTAGTTTTACTAAATGTCTAGCCAATGAAATCATGTCATTATGGAACAGTCTGTTTGTTCCTTCCGGTAGCACAATCTATAGACTTTCAAAACGACAGCTGCCCCTTACCCAGCAAATACATATTTGGCTTGAACTTCAAGCTGCATCTATGTTCTCGAAATCCACGCCAAGTCTCACACATGATCCCTAGATAGAATTCGTTTCTCTCAACATGGAGCGACTCAGATAAAAAAATTGACAATTCTAAATTCTGCTATGTGTCTAGTGAAGAATTAAAGGTTTATAAAAATCGTGGTATCTAAGTTAAATATTGGATAGATCTTTCATCGTTGTATATTAACATCCCTCTAATAAAATGCAGAGCTTCCCACACAAGTGCGTTCCTAAGATGTTAGAAGTGACCCACTCCAGTTAATACTCACACTTTTGGTTCGCTCTGAGAACTGCAACCTCGCTTTATTCTCAACTTTATCCAGAACATTCCTGTGTCACTCGCACTGACCTCCGCCCCCTCTGCTCTGCCAAGCTGCCCCATGTGCGGTTCATACATATTTTTATTTTGTCCCTTCTCTGTTTACTTCTTTCAAGAATTTATTTTGATTTAAGAATGTCTATGTATGGGTGTGCACAGGTAAGTGCAGTGCTCAGAGAGGCCAGATGAGAACAATGGATCCCCTGGAGCTGGAGTTGGAGCTGGAGTTCCTGGAGGTTGTGAGCAAACCATCATGTGGGTGCTGGGGAACCTGACTTGGGTCCTGTAGAAGAGCAGCAAGCGCTCTTAACCACTGAGCCATCCCTCCAGGCCCTATGTAGGCTCCTGGATACAGCATTATATACATATTTCACACAATCCCAAAGCGCTATAATCCAGTTTTCAGGATTATGTTCCTCAAAGATGCATCCTCTCCTGATTCTGACTCACTCTATATTTCACTGATTTAAAATATTTTGTTTCCCAAAAGGGTTTTTGGTTTGTTTTTGCTACTTATGTCATATATAAACTCCTTTTTTAAAACTGACTAAGCTATTGTTAGTCTAATCACTATCTACAGCAGTTTTAAAATTATATATTTTAGGGTTAGGGTCTATGAAACTATAAATCTAGTGGACTGAAGAGTCCACCCGGGCACTGCTGCTGTCCACCTGCCAAGGCAGAGGTCTGCCCCTCACATTTTTCCACTCTCTACCTCTGTCTCTGTCTCTCTCTGTCTCTATCTCTGTTTCTGTCTGTCTCTGTCTCTTTCTGTCTCTCTATCTCTGTCTATCTCTGTCTCTCT